TGTTTGAACTCCTGAGTTGCACCTCCAGCGGCAAGATGATTGTAACCATCCCTTATTAAACATTTACTAAGGTGTCTAATATACATGAAATAAAATGTTTTGATGTATTAGCTTCATTTTAAGATCATAGGAAACTAATTTTATGTTCTCCAAAGTGACCGTCCATTGGATTACTGAACAAGACATTTTACCATATTTTCCGGCGTATAAGACGACTTTCTAAGCATGCAAATCGGCTCCGAAGTCAGGGGTCGTCTTATACGCCGGGTCGTCTTATATGCCGGAAAATACGATAACTTATTATGCCATAGGAGGTGTATATGTAACTTTGATTTCATCAGTTTCTTTAAAAATGAATTACTGGTTAGGAGACACAGTTACTTCTTCCCAAATTACCAACTACTGTGGATTTTCAGAAATAGCAAGAGCATCTAGACCAGGCCTCCACAACCAAAAACCTATGGGCCCCATGTCAATACCATGCAGCCTTGCTGGCATTTTTTTAAAAGCTCAGCACATCCACTTCTAGTGAATGAACCAGGAAAGATCTACTGCTGTCACCAGGAAAGATCTACTGCTGCCATTCCCCAAAATTGGCAGCCAACATCCTCCAGTTTCTTCAGGCTTCATCAACACCACCAGCTCCATTGCTATTAGAATCCAGTATTACAGGCTAATTCTGCCAACTGCCAGCAGTTCGATCCTGACCCGCTCAAGGTTGACTCAGTAAAATGAGGACCCAGATTGTTGGGGGCAATATGTTGACTCTGTAAACCATTTAGACAGGACTGTAAAGCACTGTGAACAGGTATAGAGGTCTAAGTGCTATTGCTTGCTTTTCTTTGTGCCCTGATGTTGTTTTTAATTTATCAATGTGGCCCTTATCCCTCTCCAAGTTGCATAGGCCTTAGCTAGACCAAATGGATTATATATGCAGAAGTTTAAGGAAACAAAATGTGGCATTTTAGATCCAAACCCAGATGTGCACTTCAGAACAAGGGGGAGTGCCTATGCCATACTTATCAGATTCTTCTTAAATGCTCCTTTTCCTGAACTTGCATGATAGCCACACAAACCAAGTACACTAGACATTTGAGATAAGGAGGCACTGATAGCATGCTCACGCTTGCTTCAAAACCACTTGTTTGCATCTCTTTCACTCTTACACATATATCCCATAGATAATTCACCTTCTGTATGAGCCTAGAACAGACATAGGAGGAGGAGCAGATGAAGCATGCATCTACACAAACAATCTGAAACCTCCCTTTGGCTTCATATTTAAATCACTTACACATCTTTCCTTAAATTGAATAATCAGTACCAAAACATGCTGAGATAGTAAATCAAGCTTTATATGCTAATTTTTGGTCTGTTTAAATAGTTCTTTCTACACACACACACACACACACACACCACATTTCACAAATCATCTTTTGATAGTTCACTTCGATATGCTACAGAACATACAGTCTCTGGTGAAGAAGAGAACTAGAACTCAAAATATGGGAAATTAAGAAATTGGTTTTGATGTTACATTCATATTGTAGAAGAAATGACCAGATGGATCATCAGCCATGATGTGCGTGCATATGTGTGTGCGTGCATGAGAGAGAGAGAGAGAGAGATTATGTCCTGCTTAAATTTTGTCATGTTGGAAGCGAAGAATGTTATTTAGCCACAAAATCTTTATTCCTGTATAGGGGACAAAGCAAATATTTCATATAAATAAAATCAGTGATTAGTGAGAAAATGTGCCTAGCAAACAAGATCAGATTTTATGTATAAGACGATCAGAAACTGACAGGTAAGAAGATTTTATTCATTGCTTTTTAAAACAAATAATTCCTATCCAGCTTCTTAGAGCATAAAATCTTCTGTTAATCTCCATTGGATCAAAGTAGCTTAAAAATGTAAAACATAAAAGAAAGTAAGAAAGATTCTCATTTCTATTTTTAGAAGGTAGTTTAAAAGACTACTGGCTCATAAACCCTTCCCACTTTGGATTCAGTCATTGTCTTTGGGAGTTGCTGGGCAGTACAGAAAAGTAGCCCCAGTAGAATAGTAGAAGCTATTTATAACCAGTGAAATGTTGGCAGGTTGCATGTTTCCATTTCCATTTGCATAAGAAATCCATTCTTGGTGAAATGTTTGTAGACAAAAGTGTATTTATGTGCCAGTTGGATCTTTTATCTTTTCAATAATGTGTAATTATTTTTTTTCACTTTGTATTTAAAATATATATCAACAGCATCACAGATTTTTATGGAGAAGGGCTAAAGATATATCCATTATTAAGAAATTCAGCTTCATATATTCAATAGTTCCTCTTCCATTTCTGTTTCTTTTTGTATGAATTACAGTATATAGTTATATAGACAGTGCTTTTTTTGTAAAAAAAAAAAAAAGTGCCAGAACTCACATGTGTCATACAACCCACCTTGCCTACCCTACAAGTTTCCATCCAAAAAAGGTGCCAGAACTCCGTTCTGGGCGTTCTATGACAAAAAAACCCTGGGTGTAGATGTTACCTATTCATAAGATAAGTGTCCTGTATGTGAAGGCACTCACAATGAAGCCTGTGCATGGTCTCCCACAAACATTGTTTAAATGAAAAGAGTATCACTTCAGAAAGCAAGAAGAGATTAGCAGACCCGTTTCTGTCCAACTTTAGACTTTCATGTTCTGTTCCAGAGAATTGCCATCACTTTTAGATGCTTGTAAGAGCAAGTTTCTTGTATTCAGAAATAAAAATCTCCAAACAAAACATTGAGGCTGCTGATTATGCTTGCTTTTTGCTAATTATCCTTCTTTTTTAAAACCATGAGTGAAATATGAGACAGGTAGCAAGTTTACAGGGGTTCAGTTGTGAACTATCTTGCAACTATGCCTGATTATATGTTGAACAACTTTTTCTGTTTTGATGGAACAGGCCTGAAAGTTAAGAAACCTCTTTCAGTCTCTCTCAGTATTTGTGGATAAAAGAAGAAAAATAAACGGCAAATTATATTTATTTTATGGCTTCCCCTCACCCCAATTCTCTTTGTGTTTTCGTGATGCAAAGTGGGATTCCTAGAAGAATAGTAAATCATGTGTTATCCTCTCTCACATTTTGAATTATGTGTCAAAGACTTGGGTCAAGGAAAGTAGGAATTGGATGAGTGAAATAGGAAACTATTGTAAAATATTGTGGGTTGCTTCTGCATGGTTGTTACTTCTGTTCTATGAAGCAGGTAAATCTATGTAAGCCTGGGGAAAGTTGGTGTTAACTCTTTATGAAAGAAACATTGCCATTTTCTCAGCCCTAAGAACAGAAATCCCCACAGTTATATTTGCTTGTATGAAGGTATTACAAAACAGCTTTATTAAAAATCTTACTTTCTAGATTTCTGTTTTTCCAATCCTAGTCCAACAATTTAAAAAAAGCCATGGTTTTTAAGTTTGTTTCAATCTTTTATAATTTTAATCAGTTATAATTGTTTTATATCCATTTTAAAAAAGTATAGCATTGATTATACTGTCAGCCACTCAGAGTCACCTTGAACTGTTAGAGGAATGACATATAAATTCGATAAATAAACTCATAAATATAGGCACTACACCAAACTGGTTGTAAAAATATACCCATGAATGGTTACCTACACTTAAACTACTCCTTACTAGTAATTTCAGCCCAGCCAATTGATTATCTCATAGGTAGGGTAAATGTCTAAATGAAATAAGAATTATTTTATTGAATTTGAATAACTGACCATGTTTCAGAGCTAAGGGATGAATATATTGGCCATCCTCAGATAGTAATTGATTTTTTCTGAATTATATATTTTTTTTAAAAAAATGGGACACTAGTTTCAGGAATTTGAATTCATTTTTATTATTGATTTGCCTCTTGCTGTAATTGTATACTAGGGTCCCCATGTTTAACAAATTAAAACATAAAACCTGAATAAAGCAGAACAAATAAAATATATAAAGTCCTAATAAAAATTACAACCTATCCAATCTAAGACCTATGTCCACTGTGTTTTTATACCAAACAATTCTGTATTATCAGTTTTTGGTATATATCAGAGTTGTCTCCAATTTATTCTCTAAATCCATATTGGGATCCTAGTCTTACCATCAGAAAATAGTTATTTGTCTTATGGACAAAGATATAGTATTGTGGGCCTTTGGATATGTCTTTGAAAAAATGCTAATGGCCACTGCTTTTCTCATACATATCATCTGTAAACTACATATCATTTCAAAGTAAAGTGAATACTGAAACTGTCCTTAGTTCCAAAAATGTTAATTTGTGTTATACTATGAATGGGTTTTTGTGCATCAGACAAGGATTCATCAAGATCAGTATAGTTTCAAAGGAAATGGCCTGTGGCAGACAATACGTAGCTCACCAGAAGCTTTCCAGCATTCTGTCTTTTGTTTGCTAATACTGTGGATTATGTTAAATGCTTTTTGTGAGTAAAATACTATAGTTTTAGTAATAATTGCTTTTCTACCAGAAAGATGGAGAAAGAAATACCTGATCCACACCAGAAGAGGGCAGCAGATAGCGGCAGGAACTTGTTGAATTCACTTTGAAAACTTATTTATCTTTTTATTTGTTTTTTAAAAGTTAAATAGATATATATTGTTGAAAGTTTAAGGTTGCATTTAAAGCATTTTCTTGTCTCCATTACCATTAACATGATGAATGTTTCCATGTGTACTACTGATTTGCATTGTTTTATCTATATAACGATTCCCTGTTAATTGTACTAAGTAAATTAAATCATTACATAGTGCTGTTCTCTTAGGTTGCAATTCAGTTTTATGTCTGTGAGATCATTGATCTCCAAGAAAGTATGCTCTCTGCTGGAAACACATTCTCAGTAATAAGTAACAACTTCTTGCTTTCTCGCTAAAACAGGAGGGACCTACTCTTGATCACTGACGAGCTTTTTATCCAAGAATTAGAATTTGTAGATAACCCGTGTTGCAATATTTCTTTTAATTAGGCACAGTTTGGGGGCAAACTTCTGCCTGGGAAATGTTCATGTGACACAGAAGAAATTGAAGACAGTGCCTGGCTACCTTCAGATGAGATAAAGGAAACTCCTTGCATTACGTGGCAGTTTTTAAGACCAAATTTTGCACAAGAAAGTAAGTTTTTGGCTTGCCTTAACCACTATGACATTTGGTAACAATTTTTTTTATTTCTGATTGTATAATTTATCTCATGGAGAGGAAAATTTTACTATTTTTAACAGCATCAACATAGCATTCAATAGTTGATATTCTCAGTAACTTTGTATTTGAAACAGTTCACCCCTTAGATTGGATTTATAGTAGATCTTTCTTTATATTTATTACTGTCACTTGCATCCTGATTTAATTAGAATATAAGATTCCCACAAGATTTATAGTCTCCCACTCTTAGGATGTTCCAGAAGTTGGGTGGTGTTCATTACTCTCACCATTGAATAGAAATAGGGATAGAAAATGCATACATATATTCTCATTGGAGTTAATAAGCTACAGCAGCCATTACTATTCTTCTGATTGATATGGATCATGCCTCCTTAAATTTGAGCTGTAGGATGGTGATACTTATGTAGCTGTGTGACAAACATTCCAAAAAAAATCATGCTGTCCATTCTGAAAATTCCCATTCATTTAAATGAAGAACTGGCACATAAGAAAAACCTTTCTTCCATCCATTCATACCTCCAGGTCAAAAGAGACAGCACGTAGTCAGTAGAATTATGGAGAACTCTTCTTGGCATATCATAATCTATGGGTTTTAATTTAAACATTTTTTCACTTCCTTGAACTATTTTTTTATACTAATCATGCATTCATTAATATGATCAGCATGTATCATAGTTTGAAGTGATGCACTGTGGATGAGATCAAATCATCTTCAAGTGAGTCTTTCTTATTCCCTTCTTCCTGTTTCATGTTTTTGTTCCTCCCTTCGCAAAATCTGTTATTCAGGGTTAGGTTATCCCCAGTCTGAATAGAATAATACCACAGATGAAAAAGGCAATCTGGACCTACTTTGAACAAATGGAATCCTTTTCATTTCAGCCTAGGCCATAACTGAATCCAAATCCATAACTGGAACATTTGTTCTGTAAAATTACTTCCCATGTCATGTATCCATCAGTGTCCAAAGCTTCATTTGGCCATTACATCAAGTTTTTGCATTGGGACATGGAGATACATATCCTATAATTATTATAATACTATACTTCAAGAAGTGGCAAAATTATAAAATAATGGTGGGTGATATCCAGCAAATTCTATCATGAAGAAAAAAAAGTTCCTCCTGTTAGTAGTTCAGTGGGAAAGATATTTATTTATTTTTAAATTTTATAAACTGCCCCACTCCTGCAGGACTCTGGGCGGCTAACAATAAAAACACCATAAAACATGACAAAACAAACAGTACAATAACAGTCATCCAGGGGTCAGATTTTATAAACCCCAGGCCTGCCGGAAAAGCCAGGTCTTAAGCAGCTTACGGAAAACCAACAGGGTGGGAGCAGTCCTAATCTCCGGGGGGAGCTGGTTCCAAGTCGTGGGCGCCATCACAGAGAAAGCCCTCCTCCACGGCCCCGCCAAATGGCACTGCTTGGCCGACAGGACCTGAAAGAGGCCCAGCCTGTGGGATCTAACCGGACGAAGGGAACTATGAGGTAGTAGGCGATCTTGCAAATAGCCTGGCCCTGAGCCATATAGGGCTTTAAAGGTAATAACCAACACCTTGAATTGGACCCGGAGACCAATAGGCAACCAGTGCAGCTCACGGAGGATAGGTATAACGTGGGTGTATCGAGGAGCACCCACTATCACTCGCGCGGCTGCATTCTGGACCAACTATAGTCTCCGAATACTTTTCAAGGGTAGCCCCATGTAGAGCGCGTTGCAGTATTATCTTTCTGGACTGTTTTCTGGGCTATTTAAAGGCATTAAGGGTCTGGAAGAGAGAAAAGACATAGAAATGGGCTTCACTCTGTGTTTTATTTTTCATGAGAGAATATTGAGAGCATTTGGGGATACTCATTGAGTACTCATTGAATAAAACCCTAGATCCAATATTTATTATTTGTACACTATTTTTGATTTGAACAAGAAAAAGAAAATAATCAGAATCTTTGCAATAAACTTGTATGTGTATATATATATATGGATATGTCTTTGCAGTTTTTTTGACAAAGTTTTGGAAATAATAATAATAGTTGGAAGGGACCTTGGAGGTCTTCTAGTCTAACTCCCTGCTCAGGAAGGAAAGTTATATATCATAACCTGCTCCTTAGGCTCCGAGATTGTGAGTAGCCCAAGGTCACCCAGCTGGCTTTGTGCCTAAGGCAGGACTAAAATTCACAGTCTTCTGGTTTCTAATTTGGTGCCTTAATCATTACACCAAATCGGCTCTCTCATTATGTCCTTATTTTTCAATATTTTATAGGTAAAGCTCTTGAATTTTCTGGAAAGTCTCTGAAGGGTTACCAGTGGATAACAGGCATCAGCACATACATTGATCCATTGGAAGGAAAAAGCATACAAGAATTGGCAAACAACGTCTTTTCCTCACTCCAAGGTGCTTTTCTTGGGCATTTTAAAGTGTAGTATAAACTGCAGAAGAGATACATTTTAATTAGGGCTTAATAATTAGTAATTCGTGCATTTAATCAATTAAATGTGTTTAGTGAAATCTTAAAAGCATTTTTAGTTTGCATGAAGTAAAGAAGGCTAAAATGCTCTGAAGAATAAATGTTGTGATTTGCTCTGAGCTGAAATATCACCAGGCAATTCCCTTTCCTCTTGTTGCTCTCCAGCCAGTAGAAAGCATTTTGTTTCTTCTGAGAATTTAGACAGCCAACATGGGTAGTTAGCTTCATGGTCAGTTCTTAGCCATCCCATTTCTTGTTTTAAACATCCCTCATCTGCAATTTAATCATTGATGAGATTAACATGACCTGGCATGTATTACCAAGGCATGTATTACTGACTAGGTCCAGAAACTAGGTAAATCTATGGGACTTCTTTCCTTTTGTGGATCCCATCACTCCCCATGGTTCACAAAAGAATTAAGGGAGCTAAATGAGAGAAGAGCTATGTAGAGTGACACTAGCTTTTTACAGGGAGTGAACTTAACCAAAAATAGGTTACAGATGCTATGAAATAAGGTACAGTAGATGAAACACCAATATTTATCCAACCTTACTGCATCTGTTAATAGGCATCTTGTTTCAGTTGAGATGCACCTTTTTAAGTAGGAGGGAGCTTGTACAACAATAGTAGGAACAATTTTTTTGCCAGAAAAAGTCATTCAAATTCACTCACAATTGGTTGCTGGCCTTGTTGCAGGTAAGGGGGTGCCTGGGGAGGAACTTTCCCAATTATATGGGAACAGTTTGAACCTATTGGGCCTAAGGGAGTTGGGCCTGCCTGGTGTTGTTTGAGTGGATTCCAACAGTAATGAATTCTTCTTTGAGTTAGGGGATTATTCCTTTATGTTTTAAGGAGGCCTTGGAGCATCTCCTCCTCAAGCCATCATGACCACAGTATACTGGAAAACGTTTGTTCGGTATCTAACCTATCTTTTGAGGCAAAGGTGGTTGAGAAGATGTTTGTGTGGCAGCTTTGGATGAAGTAGATTATATATGTTCACTTTATGGAATATCCTTCCCAACTCATGAAGTGAGACTCGTTCCATCCCTGCCTGTTGATTTTCTAGAACAGGCATGTCAAACTGCCAGCCCACAGGCCGGATGCGTCACGCTGAAACCGTGCCCATCCCATTGCCGGCAATGGGGAAAAAGTCCTGATACGCTGCGCGACATCACGTGATGTCGCAAGTTTGACATGCCTGTTCTAGAAGGACTCCAGAAGACTGATGAGATATTGAGGTGGTTCCATTGTTAATGAGCTAATATTAATGTTAATATAATAGTAATAATAATGTTTTATATATTGTTTTCTACTCTTGTACATCACCAAGAGTCATTTTTATGTGAGATGGGCGGCCATGTACATTTGACAAATAAATAAGAATAGGTGACCTTCATTTTGAATGCTCTACTAAGTGCCAAGACCAACTGATAGAGGATTATTAGATTGCCATCATAGCGTTATTGCTTGGAAGATTACTGTACAAGAATTGCTACATTTGATCACAGAAATTTGCAGTCTAAATCCATCCATTTTTACCTTTGTGATTAGACTGGATTCCTTTTATGTTCTCCCTTGATCTGGTTATACAAGGCAGCTGAGTTTGTTTTCATTCCTTTTATCTTTTTGTGTGTGCATTCCCCATTGTGTCTGCTTTCTGTTAGCTAAACTGACTTTATCATAATTTTAAATTAAGTTCTCTAAAAAGCTGTTGCTGTGGTTGATTTTGGCACCTAGGATTAGATCAGTAGCTCTAAATCTCATTTATGTACTTAACGCAAGCAAAGAATTGATGTCTTGGGAATTGTGGTTGCTGGATTTCTTACTATCAAACCCTTACAAGAAATTGAGATATAAAACAAAATGCTTCTCTTTTCTTCTGAATCCCTCCATATTTTTTTGCACTTTTAAATAAATAAATATTTATGCAGGCATCTTTTTCATTCATAAAAATGGAAATTGTTCTCAGCTGCTGCAATGGGCAGGCTAGTATTCTTGTTCATATATACTTTTGATGTATTGGCTCATAAAATCTGAACATTTGGCTTCTGCATCTGAATTCATGACTGAATACAGAATGATAAGGAAGCATGAACAATTTTGCAAGATAAAAAGGCAGCAGGTTTCCTAAAGGGCCCTTAAGCTAGTTCCTAACAGCTAGAAATCAGCACAGAGGTTGTAATCAGGCTTGTAGCTAAAGGAGCAATGTTATGCATAAATCTTTTGGGCATAATATGTAAATTGAAAGACTGGAGCTCTAAAACACTTACTTGATTTTTGTAATATTTTCATGACCCTAGCTAGTCCAAATAATATACATCATTGCCTGATTTTTTTTTATTAGAATTAAACCAAAATAGTAGTTGTATCTGGCTGGAGGCTAAGAAGCCTGGTGGCTTTAGCAGATGATTTACATCTAAACTATTCTTTCCCATTTCTGGTGCGCTGATACATTTTGATCCAGGGAATACTTGCATTTCATGTGTATATTTATTTTGCCTTCTCAAAAAGAGATGAGTTATGGTGCTAACAATCTAAAAGTATTACCCCAGGTTTCTTTACTAAACTTAGTTGAAACTCTTCAGGTATGTGTTAAAACCTTTCCTTACAAAAGTCAGATTTTCTGACTGACTTTTTCCTGTTTTATTACATACTGTGGCATAAGAATGGAGTTAACAAAAACCTTATCGCAAGATTAATTGTTTTAATGGCCTAAAGTGGAAATTGGTTGTGAACTGCAAGACATGCATTGTAGTTCTGTCTTTCTACATTAAGGCTACAACATTTAGTTTGTAACTTGTTCCTTGCTGAGCTGCCCTCTACTTTTTAAAGCAGATTTATTCATAAAGTTCTTCCAACATTCAAAAAAGTAATCCATCAAGTAGGCAGACACAAGCAATTTTCTCTCTAATTCTGTCATGAGCCAGGTGAAATAGTCATATTTTCTGGGCAGTTTTTATGATGAACATATGGCTCTTGAATATTCAAGTTCCTGACTGAGAAATAATAGACCTTAATCCTTTATTAATCTTTAAAGAAATGCCTTCAAATTGAAGAGCTTTCAGTCTGATGAAAATCTACATTAAAAGGAGGAGAATGGTTTCTGTTACTTCTCTCTTTTCAGAAGTCCCCTCAAAACCTGCCACATTTTGTGGAAGATACTTCAGTCTTCTGGAAAAGGTTTTAGAAAGGTTGATGTTTAAAGAGTAGTCAACCAGTAAGACCTCTCTCAATGGAAGATTATAGGAATACTTCCTTCATGAGTGACAGGAATGGAATACTTCCGTCAAGAGTGATGGGATCTCATCCAACACAATATTATTATAGCCACATCCCCAGATTTTTGTGGGAAGTTTAATTTAAAAGGTAACTGTTCAAAAGATAATTGTTGAATAATTTTTAAATAAATAAATAAATCTTAGCAAAATATTGGCAAAATATTTCACAAGATATAAAGTTTTAAGCAGGAGAGAAAGAAATGTTGCCATCTGGCAAAATGTGTCCCTCGTTGTTGACCTTCAGTCACAAGTAATTTTAAGATATATAAAGGACTATATGGTTTCATGCCTTTCCCCCTACATTTGACTCATTATAGTTTGCTTATCGGAAGAACAGCTCTGTAAAAGGTGCACTTTCCTGTGTGCTTCATCTTAGCTTGGCACACCTGGAAAGGAAGAATACTCATGTGTGAATACTGTTTATTGACTTTAGTTCAACGTTCAACACAACCGTTCCTCAGCATCTGGTAAACAAACTGGGGCTATTAGGTTTTAATACTCCTTTATGTAATTAGATACTTGATTTCCTTATTGATAGGCCTCAGTTTGTGCAAGTTGGAAAGAAAGTTTCCAACTCCATCTGCTTGAGTACGGGTTCCCCACAGGGCTGAGTCTGCTACTGTTCACCTTGATGACCCACGACTGCTATGCCAAATCTGCCAGTATCATCTTTCATATTGTGAAGTAGGCAGACGACACAGCGGTGGTGGGTCTTATCTGGAATGACAATGAAGATGCTTTTAGGGAAGAGGTGAAGGCTCTGGTGGAATGGTGCAATAAAAGTAACCTGGTTCTAAATGTTGATAAAACAAAGGAGATCATTGTAGATTTTAGAAAGAGGTGACACAGTCATATTCCACTCAGTATCAAGGATGCAGTTGTAGAGATTGTCAACAGTATTAAGTATCTGGGGGTGCAGATAACTAACAATCTGAATTGGTCTCTCCATATGTCATCCTTAGTGAAGCATGCAAACAAATGTCTGCATTTCCTGCGTCAGATGAAGATAACACATCTTTCTCCTTCTGGCCACTTTTTACAGAGGCACAATTGAGAGCATTTTAACAAACTGCATCATTGTCTGGTTTGGTGGCAGCAGTGCCTCAGATAGAAAGTCCATACAGAGAGTGGTAAGGACAACCGAGAAGATCATGGGAAGCTTGCTTCCCATGATTCAGGATGCTGCTTTTAATTGCTATGTGCTTAGAGCGCAAAGCATTGTTAGAGACCCCACATACTAACTTTATGGTCTGTTTCTGTTGCTCCCCTCTTGGAGGAGGTTTCAAAGTATTTCTAGCAGGATTACCCAATTCTGTAATAGCTTTGTTCCCTATACCATCTGCCTCGTAAATTCGCAAGATTCGTTTTTCTCACCAGACTATGCTGTTTCTCTGTATCATATAATATATGTGGGTATATGCATAATTATGTATGTATGTACAGTGGGGAAAAAAAGTATTTAGTCAGCCACCAATTGTGCAAGTTCTCCCACTTAAAAAGATGAGAGAGGCCTGTAATTGTCATCATAGGTAGACCTCAACTATGAGAGACAAAATGAGAAAACAAATCCAGACAATCACATTGTCTGATTTGGAAAGAATTTATTTGCAAATTATGGTGGAAAATAAGTATTTGGTCAATATCAAAAGTTCATCTCAATACTTTGTTATATATCCTTTGTTGGCAATGACAGAGGTCAAACGTTTTCTGTAAGTCTTCACAAGGTTGGCACACACTGTTGCTGGTATGTTGGCCCAATCCTCCATGCAGATCTCCTCTAGAGCAGTGATGTTTTGGGGCTGTCACTGGGCAACACGGAATTTCAACTCCCTTCAAAGGTTTTCTATGGAGTTGAGATCTGAGACTGGCTAGGCACTCCAGGACCTTGAAATTCTTATTACAAAGCCACTCCTTCGTTGCCCAGGCAGTGTGTTTGGGATCATTGTCATGCTGAAAGACCCAGCCATGTTTCATCTTCAATGCCCTTGCTGATGGAAGGAGGTTTGCACTAAAAATCTCACGATACATGGCCCCATTCATTCTTTCCTGTTCACGGATCAGTTATCCTGGTCCCTTTGCAGAGAAACAGCCCCAAAGCATGATGTTGCCACCCCCATGCTTCACAGTAGATATGGTGTTCTTTGGATGCAACTCAGCATTCTCTCTCCTTCAAACACGACAAGTTGTGTTTCTACCAAACAGTTCTACTTTGGTTTCATCTGACCATAGGACATTCTTCCAATCCTCTTCTGGATCATCCAAATGCTCTCTAGCAAACTTCAGACGGGCCCAGACATGTACTGGCTTAAGCAGGGGGACACATCTGGCACTGCAGGATCTGAGTCCCTGGCGGCGTAGTGTGTTACTGATGGTTGCCTTTGTTACGTTGGTTCCAGATCTCTGCAGGTCATTCACCGTGTGGTTCTGGGATTTTTGCTCACCGTTCTTGTGATCATGTTGACCCAATGGTGTGAGATCTTGCGTGGAGCCCCAGATCGAGGGAGATTATCAGTGGTCGTGTATGTCTTCCATTTTCTAATTATTGCTCTCACAGTTGATTTCTTTACACCAAGCTGCTTGCCTATTGCAGATTCAGTCTTCTCAGCCTGGTGCAGGTCTACAATTTTGTTTCTGGTGTCCTTCGACAGCTCTTTGGTCTTTACTATAGTGGAGTTTGGAGTGTAAGTGTTTGAGGTTGTGGACAGGTGTATTTTATACTGATAACAAGTTCAAACAGGTGCCATTAATACAGGTAATGAGTGGAGGACAGAGGAGTCTCTTAAAGAAGAAGTTACAGGTCTGTGAGAGCCAGAAATCTTGCTTGTTTGTAGGTGACCAAATACTTATTTTCCACCATAATTTGCAAATAAATTCTTTCCAAATCAGACAATGTGATTGTCTGGATTTGTTTTCTCATTTTGTCTCTCATAGTTGAGGTCTACCTATGATGACAATTACAGGTCTCTCTCATCTTTTTAAGTGGGAGAACTTGGTGGCTGACTAAATACTTTTTTGCCCCACTATGTGTATGTATGTATGTATGTATGTATGTATGTATGTATGTATATTTTGTTGTATTTATGTAGTGTATATTGGAAGTGGTAACCCTGAGAGCTATATGCAATGAAATTTCATTTTAATGTATGCCGATTAATGTACATCAAAGTGACAATAAAGTTATTATTCTGTTCTGCTCTGCTCTGCTCTGCTCTGTTCTATATATATAATGATACAAAATCAAATATTAAAATTATGTAATAACTTGATGATTTCCTAGTAAATGCTTAGTAGATTGTATATTTCATTAGGAAGTAGATTTGATTAAAACTATAATAGCTTCATCTGCTTTGAGGCAGCTGTACTGGAATTTAACATGTCTTCATTTTTACTAATTTACTGTACAAGATCAAACAAAATCAAGTTGGTTTAGGAAATAAACTCAACGTGTCTGCCCATATGCTATATAAGAAATTGTACTCGTCAGAATAGTTTCTATTTGTCTAAGTTCTTCAGCTTCAGTTATGCTTTGGTTCAAGGGGAGTTCTTTGCAATATATATATATCCTTTAGTACAAATCAAATATTTCCTGTCTTTAACAGATGCATTATTTTTCCACATGCAGCTCATATGAATTTAAAAGGATTGGCATTGACAGATATTATTTTGGTCCATCTGTATATGAAGAGTATGGCTGATTTTGCTGTGATAAATTCAGTCTATATGACAGCATTTGATTTGTGTCCTCCAGCGAGGTAGGTTCATACTACTGCTGTCTTATATTTATGGTACACTGGAATATACTTCATTGCTACTAATACTTTATTTATGACTTTTCTTCAGACTTAGTTTCTCTGTGTTTCGATTGGGCTTCCTTTCACCTCTTTGTATGTCTCTCTTCAAAGGCATGATCTTTTATTCTCTATTGTAGCAGCTGCATTAGAATGAATGCATCTGAATCTCTGATTAAAAAAACACTTTTTTTATACTGAATCTATTTTGTATTCTGTTATCCTAGATTCATCATATATGTCTTTTAATGCAGTACCTTGCTTAATAACGAGTCCATGCTCTTCAACAGTGAATTATGTTCCCCAAACCTGTTTTATAGAAGTATAATTCTGAAATAATTATCAGTTGGTTATCTAACATGTGCGATCTAACAGTAACTTTTTCTAAAATGTTTGGGCAAAATGATCTATCATCTCCCTATGAATTATAACAATAGTACTTAGACTTATATACTACCTCACAGTGTTTTATAGCACTCTCTGGACAATTTACAATGTCAGCATATTGCCCCCAACAATCTGAGTCCTCATTTTATTGACCTTGGAAGTAAGGAAGTCTGAGTCGACGTCAAACTTTGTCAGGATCGAACTCCAGGCTGCGGGCAGAGTTAGCCTTCAATACTGTATTATTGTGTTCCTGCTTCTTTTCCATTCTAATTTGGCAAAAGCTCCATTATTTTTTTGTCCTTTGTATAAGCAGGGTTAAGAGTAAAGCAGCTTAGAAGAGACTGACATGATAAGAATCAGGCACAGATTTTGCTAAATTAATAAAATAGGCATGTTCAATTACAGGAGAGAAGATACGATGTGCAGAGTGAAAATTAAGAGCAACGTAGAGAGCTAATACTCAGTAAAAGATTATAGTTCTAAATAATGACATTATCACTGGGACAGCTGTGTGTGAATGAGAGGGGTCAACTTGGAAACCATATTGTTCTCTGCCAAGATTGCTATCTCCAAAAGTACTTGAACTATGAGGTGAGATGGCATATAAATTTAAATAAATAAATACTCTTCTTGTGCCTGACTGATTTTGTTAAAATTGAACGGTTTCCTTTTTTAATCGACTATACTTATAACCTGCCATTATCAGATAATTCCAGTATAGTAGGAACATTTCATTAACAAATTGAACAAACTCATTCATGTGTATCCTTCTTGATCTTTAGTAAACAAACAAGGATGCTACAGAAATGTGTTCTCTTAAAGAAGGAATGTGAAGTGAGGTGCTTTCTTTTCAACATACAGCTTCTTTAATGTTATATCACTTTCTGTGAATAGGGAAAAATTGAAAATGAAAAACATTGTATGAGAAAGGCTCTTCTCCTGCAATTTTTTATGAGTGTTATTAAGAGATAGCTTTTACAGACCTTTTACTTTTGCTGAACAACTAGTACCCTGTACAGTGTTCTTTTAAAATTTATTTTTTCCTTTATGGAGTTATACCTCATAATTTTGTTTATGCAAACACACAAGACAGTTTTCAACTTAAAAAATAGAATAGAAAACAAATTGAAAATTAATGCCATTAATACAGCAACTGAATTAATTAAAATCACTACAATCATATGGGTATATTCCTTAGAATAAAGTTCTTTCTACTTTTTCTGGAGCAGTTTTAACACAATACTTTTATTAGGCTAATTCTGGATTTACAAATTGATGTTCGATACTTGAAGATCCCAGAAGCTTTCATCAGGAAAGATGCTTAAAAATTAGGGTATGGGGTGGGGTAGGGAAGAGTTCTTAGTATTTTAAGCTGTGTCTGTAGTAACTAACAATCTTAGGATGTAGGAGTAATTTGTGGCCAGTATGAGCTGACTTTAGTTTATATTTTTCATTCCTACCAAGATCTATAATTTAAATCCTAGCCTAATTTTTCCTCTCTACTTTTTCTTCTTTCTCTTCTTTTTATCTTGTGACCTAAGAGCTCATAAATTCAAATGTTGCACCCTATTTTATAAAGCTGAAAATAGTGCTATCTCCTTATGAGTGTTTTTTCTCTCATAACCAATATAGATTTTATATGGTTTAAAAAATATTTTTAGGCATACTGTTCTACTGAACATGCCATCTTGAACTTTAACAGGGAATTCAGCACAGCAGTGTTCCTATTCCTCTTAATTTAAAATTGTCTTTAAATATATTTCATTCCTGCTTTCTTAATAAGCATTTTAATATATAAAGCTAATGAAATAAGAACTGTACAATTAAAATATTTTTAATGCTACATAAAATCTTTTTTAAGAAGAAATCTCTTTGGAATATTTTTTTCCAGATGAGGGCTTTATTACTTATTCCATTTAGTAAGATATATTTCTCTTTACTTAGTAATAGCTTTTCTAGTAATTGGATCTTTGTGAAAACTCATTGCATTGTAGATTTCTTTGAGATAAATAGCCAGTGTTTCTTATTAATACCATGCCCCATAATTTACACAAAATCTATGTGTTATCCTAATGTACAATTGATTGAGAAGAAGCCAGAAAAAAATATGAATTTAAGTCTTACACCTCTATTTATAGAACTTGAACCTATATAAAGTATACATTTTAGTATAACCTGCTAGACCTTGTATTGTGAAAAAACAGTTGAGAAAGTCTTTGTATGGATCCTCATTCTGGCATTTCTAAAATACTACTACTAATAATAACAGAATAGTAGAATTGGAAGGGATATCAGAGGTCTTGTAGTCCAACCCCCTGCTCAGGGGGGGGTTGGATTAGAAGACCCTATACCATTTCAGACAAATTGTTGTCCAGTCTCTTCTTTAAAACCTTCAGTGTTGGAGCACCCACAACTTCTGGAGGCAAGTGATTCTAAGGATTAATTGTTCTCACTGTCAGGAAATTTCTCCTTAGTTCTAGGTTGCTTCTCTCCTTGATTAGTTTCCATCCATTGCTTCTTGTCTTGCTTTCAGATGCTTTGGAGAATAGATTGACCCTCTCTTCTTTGTGCAGCCCCTCAAATATTGGAACACTGTTGTCATGTCACCCCTCGTCCTTCTTTTTCTGTTTTCCTATATTATAAAGGAAACGAGGAAAAAACATTCAGTTGGTGGAGCTTATTTAGCAAGACATTTTCTAGCTATGAAATAAAGACCTATAAAAAAGCACTGTACAATGAAAAGGATTCTGAAAATAATCATGGGAAACACTAGATTCATAATCAGTAAATAAGGTCCAGAATTACATGGGCTAATATTCCTAATTGTTTATTTTATAGGCAGATTTTGCCAAATTCCATATTGTTTCGATGGCTCCATGAAAAGCTGCTCTAGAGAATTAGAGGACTCTCAGGAATATCAGGGAAGGCTGAGGGCTGTAGTGGACAAAGAAATTAGCAGATATTATGATCATCACTTGCCTCAACAAATGGAAGGAATAAATCTACATTTAATTTTTTTGTGAATTTTGCTGCACAAAAGTACTTGAGTGTGAAATGAAGTTAATGGTTGATATCAGTCAGGGTCAGGGCTGGGCAACATTTGATAACTTTTAAGGCTACCATCCCTGTCTGTGATCTGCAACTGTCTCCTAGCTTTGCTTCTTATTGTCCCTGCCTATTAATTTGTTTTCTCCTAAGCTATTAATAGTACCAAAAACAAAGAAAGGATACAAAGTTCTCCATTTGCCTATTTTTTTTCTCAATGACAGTGGAGATTACTCTGAATAGAAACTAGGGAAAGTAGCAAGGAACAAGTGACATTCTTGACTGGGATTTCAAGAATTCTTGCTCGTTCTCATCGCCCATCTCTGCCCTGCTGGTATAAATCTAAGGAATATTAAGAGTACTGCAACCAGAACTCAGAGACAGTTTAATGTCATTCAAATGCTGCCAGTACGTTTTTATATTTTTTTTTTGTTATTTCAGGGTTTGTGTTGAAGCTCCATTGAAGGAAAACCTGCTATTTCAGATGGACTGCCTTACCCAAAAGGATGATAAGATGATCTCTGGTGCACCTGGTTCCCAGAAGCAGGCGATGCATGTACAGAGTATTTCTCATTGGGCTCCTGCCAATATTGGTCCTTATAGTCAGTGCATACAGGTAAGGCATCTTCATCTGTGAGATATTTTCCCATTAAAGAAGTTCCTTGAATCTGCATATTGTAATATTAGGCCATCCATTTTAAACATCAGTTAATATTGGCTCTCTTGTGTTAATTTTTTTTTTTTTTTGAAGACAACCTAATAGCTTAAAGTAGAGCAAGATGGAAGGAGGAATTTGATAATGTAATATTCAACAAAAGAAAATACATAAATGCTTAAGTTTATAAAGAAATTGGGAAAGCAAGAAAAAGATATCGTAATATGGAGTAAGTTATGAAATGTAATGCCTATTTTGTGCATGTAATAATCTCTGTGCAAAGAAGTTTTCTATTTTTTTTTAAATTGCATTGTTAGAAATTATTCCCATAGTAGGGCTAAATTGGGATTCACATCAACTTAGGCTAAGTATAGAAAGGGTGTGTGTGTGTGTATGTATATGTATGTATATACTCTGAATCATTTGACTTGGGAGGAAATGGGAGAGGTCTTTGATTGGGCTAGTTCGCAACATTCGGAGCAGCTAGATAATGGCTTTTTTCATAGGGATGCATTTGGGATCGTTCTCCCAATTTTTCTTGCTTCTTTTAAATTCTATTTTTTATTTTAAAATTTATAATTTTTATGTGCTGTTTTTACAACATTGAAGACTTTATGGCATTTCTGTAGGCCACTTATAAAGTAAATAATGTGTATCTTAGGTTATATTCTAGTCTAAGACATTAATAAAATAATTATCATTATCAGATATTCATTATATTAAATGGGAACAGATAAGTAGTCAGAAAGAGAGAGAGAGAGAGAAAGATTGTGTGGAAGATGGTATTATTTGTTAGCTATTTCACCCCCCCCCAAAGCTATTTGCTATACCAGAATAACTAATATGAATATTTGCCAGTTTAAGATTAAGTAGCTTGTCAGAAATACTGTGAACATTGTCAGTAAAGTTTCATGTATTTTGAACTCCCAGTAAATTCCTTTCTAATTTTGCTGTCTTGGTTTTTTTCCCGTTTTCTTTTTGGGATATTGTCAGAAATGATTTTTAAAAAAGAGTAGATGTTTTGGCTGGAGTACAATGAAGTTGACTTCAAATTGTATATGGAGCAAGGACAGTTTTTAAAGGCAACCAAGCAGAAAATACCTTTCTTTAGCAGGCATTGTACTTCAATATTATTCTTACACCAAAATTGAATTCTGACACTAAAATAGCAGAGAGAATTCATAAATGCTACAATTTAAAATGTACAAAATATTGCTTTCTGACTCGCAAAGGAAACAGTATGTGAATTAATTCATATAGAATGAAAGATGTTGTCTTTTCAAACCACAGGTGCACTCATCCCAGAGTTTTATTGAATATCATACAACACATTGTGTAAGACAAGAGAAATTGGGATTTTTTTAGAATGAATGTTCCATATATATACTTGTTGAGAATAATTTGCTTCCACATATCTTTCTATCCATAGACAATATGTATCTCCTTATATCTGTCCATATAACTCAAACATGTCTGTAATATATTGACAGTTTAAAATATAGCCAGGGTTATAATTATAATCTAGATCAACATCTAAAAACTTTTGGTATGAAGTTTAGGAAGAATATTTCTGAAAAAAATATTATTATACATTTAATAGAAATTTGTGTTCAATAAACTTTAGCCTCTCAGCAGAACATGTCTGTTATTCCTCCTCTAGAGTTTGAGGCAGTGAAATTAATCTCTTTTTCATATGTAGTTTTTCTCCTGTAAATAATAAGTTGAAGTTATTTATTCAGGATAAAAATTTATCTTAAAAACTGGTCCTGGTTATGGTGAAAATCAAATTTGGTTTGGCATTTGTGCTTTTTTTATACAAATGTGCAGATAGGTGAGTGAATGCTAAACAGTTGCTAAAATTCTGCTACATAAGGATGAAACTGGACACTAAATTCATTTAGTACTTTGCTGGAATGAAACAAGCAATCCCCACCAACAATTTGATTTGAAACCACGTTTCTGTCTCAGCTGCTAGAAATAGATTCTGTGGTTCATTCTTCATAATTTACCAGACCATAGCTAAACCTGAATGTGGAAAAGTGCTCTTTCAAATGTTGGTGATAGGTATAGGGGTTTCAGGGCATGGTGGTGGAATGCAGCCTAATTATGGAATTTTCATTTAATTCCTCTGTACTGTTGGCCAGTGGGTCATTTAAGGGCCCATTCACATTAATTGGGAATTACTGCATACATAAGCAGAACATGTAACTGCATTTTGCAAATTTTTACCACTTACATACTAGTATGAATGTATTTAAAGTATAATTTGAATGAGATTTTTAGTTAACTCCATGCAGAATGCTTACCTCCAATACTATTTTATATACTTTTGCAATAATTCTGCCTAAGGTGCTGATGCCCAAAAACTAACAACAGGCCACAAGGTTTAATTTGATGTGTACGCTATTTACAGGTTAATTAGGACATTTAGCTTCTTTCTTAATACCACAAAATTAATCCCATAAAAATTAGCAATCTCACAGGAGTCAGTTGTCAACTTGTGACAGAATCCCTTTGCCATAATCTATTAAAATGCTGCTTTTATCTTGTCTTGCCTGTGTCATATTTTATGGATTTTTTCATAAACACTGCCTATACTTCATAAATGTCTCAATTTTCTAGTCTATTAACATTACTTCAAAAGCAATTGATAAAAGAGTAGGGCATGCATGAAATAATACACCAATAATGTGAAGTGCTGGAGGCAAGAACAGTGGGTAGTATCTGCACAGCTTGTGATCTGAAACAATGAAAGGATGTTTTATCTACTACAATAAAGAAACAAATGATATTCTTGATAGTGGGATAAAAAGATTGCAAGTAATTGGGCTTATGAAAAATTGGCTACTTGGGAAACAGCATATTTTAGAATAACAGAAAGCAAACATCATTGTGTATGTGTGTAATGTTTTTAACCTTTTCTTTTGGTGTAGATGAATTGTAGTAATTTTTATGTTATACATATCCAGATTTTTATTCAAGTACCTGTAAACATCTCTAGATGAGCAGGAGAACTATTTCTACCCACATGTAAAATATATGGCTAACCATAGTAGTACATTGTTTTGCTCTTGGCTATTAATCAATTACAATTCTTGCCTGAGCTTTATTTTGTGAGTTATCATGAGATACAAGAAGCTTGTATATCTATACATGCAATTATATATTTTTTTTCATGCCTAGCAAAAACCTGTGCTGCTTCCCTTTTATAATTTGTGATGGAAATGGGTTTTTTTCTTGTTTATATATACTTTTTTTCTTCCTATTTTTAAATAAAAGTAATACCAATTAATATAAAATAAAAAAGAAAGAAATTAAAGAGAAAGCTAAATGTGCAGGAAAGAAAAAAATAAAAGAAAAATAGAAAAGGTACAAAGATGTGACTTCTGATCTTTTTTATAGCAGTTGTAAGCACAAATTCACTTCTTACTCTGTGGTTATAACATGACTCTCTTTTTCTGTCTGTCCTGTTTAATCATCAAAACCATGAACTATACTTTTTTTTACCATAAGGGGTTACCAGTCAGTAATTAATGTAGATATTAATAAAGGAGAAGTTTGGGTAATGAAACATCTGCAAGAAAACAACCAAGCTCAGAGAGCACAAAGGACCCCTGATAAAGATTCTGTCTTTTCTCTGATCAAAGAAGTGAATATGGCCAATTTAGTAAGTCCCATCTCTTCACCAAACATTCCTCCATCATGAGTAAAGCCCATCTTTCCATCATTGTGTATAATTTTGCTGCAGTTATACACAAAAACAAGTTCCATGACTTTTTTCCATCCCGAAACCTCTAGTCTCATTGTATATTAATCTTTAAAATCCTCTCAGTCAGTGTATATATGTAAACCCAAAATGTTCTAGCTTTTTTACAATAGCAAGTCTGTTTTTGTTTCTATGAAATGCCTGCCAAGTAAACCAAGTTTTGAATAAAGGTTAAGTGTCTGAAGAGCTGAGATTTACAGGAGCATATAATGTGAAATCTGACTTGAGAGATGGCCAAAAGAATTATAACATAAAATTATGTAATAAATCTGTACTTAATATGTAACAATAGAATTTTTTTGTGTTTTGGGGAGATCTATCCTTGAATTAGAATTTTTTGAAACTAAATTAGAGATATAAATAATTTTATTATTTATATTACAGGAGTTTCAGGCTGGTGCTGGGGAATGCCGGCAGGCCAGAGGGGTTGTGCAAAGTACATGAGTGCAGATGGATGAAGGGGTGCTGCATGCAGGTGCACAGTACAGAGGGGGGGGGTGTTGTTTTGGAGTAGGAGATCCCTGGGATTTTTGGAGCTTTTTGGGAGAAAAAGCAGTGAAAGTGACTTCTGGCTTCCCCATTGACTTTGCTTATAGGAGGTTGGCAGGGAAAATTGCAAATAGTGATCACGTGACTGTGGGGTAGCTGCAACATCTGTAATGTCAAGACTGCTAACATCGGATGTTCTTGCTTGCCATATATGAAGAAGCAAACCTGTTTTATTTAGCCTGTATAGCACTTCTAGAGTTAAAGCAGACAGTAATAGTCTAGTGGATGGGAAAATATGCTAGTTAATCATAACAATGTCTGAGCACAGTGTGGCCAAGGTCAGCTCAGCTGCAACGGGAGGGGCACTTCACACTTCACATTAATTGGAGAATGTGATTGATGACTGTAAAGTGAAGGAGTGAGTTATGCTTTGTTACGGGTGTTTGGGGGAGGGAGGATTCAGTTTTTGGCTTAACTTTGTTAGTGCCGAAGCTATGCAGAATAATAAAAGATTCTTTTAGAGGAATAAGCCTCAAAATTCTTTGAAAAGCTGCTTCCTTTCGGAACCATGACATGTAACTTTTCAAGCTAGTTGTATGTCCATCTTGTTCAGTGCCATTATAATTTTGAATGTTCACTGAATGAGTGTTCCTATCTTGAGGACTGTATTCTCCCAGTATGCTAGGAAATCAGAGACTTGAAATCC